CCAGCGCTGGTGGTAGCTGAACTACAGCTGTAAGACTCTGCCAAAAAGCCTGTGTGGATCCTTGTGAGTAATATTTCTGCTTCTTCTGAAGGGTGTTTGTAACTGATAACTGCAGGGAGGGAATATTGCAGATGTTTATTGCCAGCAATAAATTAGAGGGAGGCTGGAAGTGAGAGGCAATAGTGAAACTATTGACTGGTTTTAAAATGTGACTTAGACTTCTGTAAGCAAGTATGGGTTTCTCTGAAGATGTGCAAACAAATCTCTTCCAATATGCTAATAAAAAAGACATAATGTGCTGAATTCAATTACAGGACTGTCAGGAGAACATAGATTTGGCCTGACAGGGAAATCAAAGGACCATCTAGTCCTGTGTACTGGTTTGGACTGGCCAACAGTCAATGTTCAAGGAAAGAATAAAAAAATAGGAAAAGTGTACAGTGATATTTCCTCTCCTACATTTTCCTGGGTTTCAGAAATCTGCAGGTCAGTTATATCCTGAGTCAGAAATTATATCTTTAATACACTAAGTAAATTCTGAAAAGAAAAATCCACTTGTATCTGAAGACAATACATTGGGTTTGCATTTGACTGACATAAATCTAACTGGAATTTGATATCTTGAGTTAAAGGAGTACTTCCATATAGGATTTTGATTTTTTTAGGAGTGGTTTTCCATTTAGATAAAACTGAAAAGGGAAAAGCTTGTATGGATTTACAGAAAACAGAACTTCCCTTCCCAGTTCTGTGATGTATCTGGATGCAGCTCAGACAATGAACAAAGCCTGGAACTATAAAACCATCCACTGAAGCAAGAACTGGAATTTATTAGCTCAATGCTGAGCAGCTTGGAACAACTTGGTTATTATTCCTGCCAACCCTGGAAGGCATTGAAGTGCCACTGTATAAAAAAGGCAGCTCAAGTGCTGAGCTACAAGGGGAAATAAAGCTGTTGCCTATAGTATGGATGCATGTGCACTTACTCTTACAGGTGGTGCAGAGCTTTTCCTTGATAGAACAAATGCTGGACTAATGGAGATAGCTTGGGAGAGCCCAAGTCACTACCTGCAAACCTTGGGGGGGGGGGGGGGGGATTGTAAAACCTATAAAGTACTTGAGACCTGCTAAAGTATTTAAATCTTATTTCTAGCCAGTAGATGAAGAGGTAATACCATCGTGAAAAGTTGTTATTTTGTAGATGTTATAGGATTAGAGAGGTACGTGTGAAAAGCTATACTGAACTAAAAGGCACTCAGCTGCAAAGTCAGATTAATGCTTTCACATTTCCTTTCTAAAGAGGGCAAAATTGATAGGCATGTTTGCTTCAGTAAAAGTGCAATAGTGATGTAAGATAAGCTCGAATCCCTCTTACACTTGCTGGCTAATTATTTAGACCTTAAAACCTTTGTAATACACCCACAGGGAAACTTGAGCTATGCCTCTTGCACTATACCAGTAAGGGATGGGCAGTGGCAGTGCAGGCTGCTTGCTGGGCACTCCGTGGCTTCCCATTTTAATTCTGCAACCTAGTAAGACCTCTTTGTATGTGTTTCAGGGTTGTCCAGAAATCAGCCTTCCCAGGTGTTTGTAGTGTTTGCTCTCCGTCTGAGACTTGCACAGGGGCCTTTAGCCTTTGCAGTGCTAGGGGCTGGCAGAGGGACGTAACAGCCAATCTTAGTCACCATGAGATGGGCTTTTCCCCAGATCATCAGATGACTTTGTGGATCTAGAGAGTTTACAGTCTTAAAAATACATGAGACTACTAAAGATGCTACTACTAGAAATGCTTGAGCTGCTGAAAGAGTAATCTGGGGAGATATCTGCTTGCCCTGTTTCTGGGCTATTCTCTGGGTTGCTGATACTGACTGCTGTCAAGGGGATGTTGGTTCAAAGAAAGATGCTCCTAGCCCATGGAAGAACTCTTCTAGTTCTTATGAAAAAACAACAAATAAGTTAGCAGTTAAAACTGGGAATTTTACCATGTTATTTCTAGAACACTCTGGTATGTGTAAAACATAGTCAAACAGTATTTCTAATTTGTTGCAGGGTAAAATGGAAGCTATATACAAGCTGAAGATTTTTGTGATGTTTCTATCTCTAGCTACTTTCACAGTCATGGTGATACTGAATGCTGGAAATGCCACTGGTATATTCAAAGGTAATGCAAGCAAACTGTCTTTGTTCAGAGAGATTGGTTTCATGCATTGTATCATTTAATGATATAAGGTGCCTTAGATGAAAGATCTATTTGTCACCTCATTGCTTCTCCAAATACATCTTGATTTGTGAAAGAAGCAAGTAGCTGGTGCATCTCCAGATGTTATGGCCAGGTGCCTGAGCCCTACCTAATCACTTGAAATCAAAGTAAATGGTCTTGTCTAGTGGTGGGTGAAAGCCAGTCTTTGCATATGCTGTCTCTGTATCCCTGGTGGAAGATGTTTGGGCTGCTGCAGTGGGTCTACACAGGGCAGTGGCACCTGGTTTGAGCAATACCCAGCTCAATTTGTCAGAAATGGACATCATGCTTCTCTGGCTTTCACATACAACTGGCTTTTCTGGCTCTGTATAAGAGGGAAGGTGCTCAGGGTTCCCCATAGGGAGAGTGATCCCATAATGGGTGCCTAAAGGCAAGCACTGCAGCATGTGGCTTGTGTTCACCAAGGGTACCTTCTCATTTCCCTTGGATCCACTGAGGTGTGGACTAAGCCTCAAGGAAGATTGCAAGGTGAGGGAAATCAGCGGTCTTTCCTCATCCTTAGTATGTGGTAACACTTTTGCCTGTAATAATATTCACCACTGCAGGTCTGTTCAGGACAACCCCTGGAAACATCTCGGCAAAATACAACACTGACTTCACACCAGCTGGCTGGACTTTCCTCATCTGGAATGTCATCTATGCCTGGCAGCTTGCCTGGCTTCTCTATGCCTTGTCAGGGATCTGTCGAAGGTATTTTCCCTGCTTATGGTATAAATGAGGGACAGTGGATCTTCCTTTCTGTAGCTCAGCCTCTTAACACTTTTTCTGGGGTTTCTAGTCAGAGTAAACCCACTACCATTCCTCTTGACTTGACATGCTGAAAGTGTGGACAGGTTACAAAGCATGTAGACTGTTCCATGAAGCCTGATCTTCACTGATGTGATCTGACAGTTACCTAGTAGCTGCACTTAGCCACTGCTAGATGCTCAGAGTCCATTGAGGAAGGACAAAATGTATTACAGAGCTAATGCTTTGAGTTTACTTGCTGTTAGAGATCAGAGAATCAGCACTGGGAAGTCTTTTGTGTCATTGAACTGGACTTGAAGCTTTTCCTGGGGCTATGAGATCAATAACTGACTCATGCAGTACTGTGGGATATCTGTAATCTGATGTCTTCTGTGGGATAGACTCACATCACAGCCCTTCTGTCAAGGGGGACCACGGGCTGCTTTAGTTTGAGTCTTGTGTATCTCCTGTTTTGACATGACATAAGTCACACAGTTCATGCTGGCCAACACAGAAGGTTGAGGGGAAAAATGAAGTATGTGTTTGTACAAGAGTGATCAAGTCCATATACATGCATGTATAACATACACATGTGTAACAACACAAATATATATACACACTCACACTGTTATTCTGTGATCACGCCATTGCTGCTGCCACCACCACCAGTGACACAAGCTATGTGGTATCTGTGGCGTAGTCATTAGCACTTACTGGATTTGTGATGGTGCAGAGACCAGCAAGAAGTTCTGTACCATGAGACAACACTCTGGTGGGGGAAAGCCACAGGGACTGTACTTTTGTGTCAGAGAAGGATGTAGAGGAAAAAGTCTGACTTCAGTTGAAATGTTTAATTCCAACATAGAGTCTCTGTTAGTATGAGGAAAATGAGGCCAGGAAAGTTTGGCTGGTCAATGCAGACATTGTTTTCTTTTTTCCATACCCACTTTTTCCTGGCAGGAATGAACTTGGATGTGTCTACATAAAGCCAGACTTGTTGCCAATACCTTTTTACATGGTGTGGATTCTGAATAATGGCCTCAATGTTGGATGGCTGTTTCTGTGGGATCGAGAGTAAGACACCTTTTGTTACAGATGCTTTCTAACCCTCTTGTTGGGACTGCCCCAATACTTCATTTTGCCCTTTCCCCTGTGAGTGAACACCTAATTGTGCCTGTAAAACTCTGTGGCAGGCCTTGGCATAAGGTAGCCTTCGTAAAAGTTTGGGGGTTTTGCATGATGTTTTCATTTTGCCTATGAGATGGATCAGTTATTGAAGTTTAAGATCTCCTCAAAGCTGTAGTTCTTTTGTGTTTTTTTTCCCCCACAGGTAGGACAAGAACTATGCCTTTCCATAAATACAGTTAAGCTCCTTGCCTTGGATTGTTTTCATAATCAGTCACATGAAAGGCTTTAATAGCACTGCTGTCAAGAGGTGAAGAAATCAGTTGCAGTCAGGAAAATAACTTTGTGATTAACAGACTAAACTAGCAGTATGTCAAAATAAGTTACATGTGGTGATTACCTTTATTAAAGGCTGATTAACTTAGTAAAGGCCAGACACTAAAGCTATGAATTTAGGCATTGTGACACCACTGAAAAAATGTATTGTACACTGTGTGCATGCATGTATTCTTTGTCCTAGATACCTCATCCCAGCCCTGGTGTTTCTGGCAGCCCTCACTCTTACCACGTGTGCTGCCCTCTTCATTTCACACAGAGCGTTGAGCATCCATTCGTCGTGGCTTGTGAAGGGTCACAAAGCTGAGCTCTGGCTCATCCGCATCCTAGTAGGTGGCATTTGGGAAACTGTGCTGTTGGTAAATGCTAAAAAAACCCCAAACACCTGTGCTGAAGTATCAAGAATGAAAGACTCGTGGCAGGAGATGAGTAAGGGAAGATTTCTGCCCTGACTTTAACTTGTGCCTGCTGAAGGTACATACATGCTTAACTGCACCTCAGTTTCCTGTCAGATATCATGGGAATGATTCAGAGCAAGGTATATCCCTCATTCTTCTCCAGCTACTACAGAATGAAGTTTTCGGTGATGTATGAAAACTTCTACCCAGACTAGTACTTGAGGTGGGGAGAAGGATATCTCTTGCAGAGGAAGAAGCTGTTGCTAAGGGTGGCTTCTGTTGCTGTAGCTGATAGTGATATGTGTATTGCTATCTGCCTACAAAAAAAACATACAGGGAAGTATATGCTGCTGAAGGTTTCAAATACAGCTGTCTTTCTGAGTTTTGTTAAGTTCTGGAAGAAAATTACTCTTGTGCTGTCTCAGGGTGTTTGTTTGGCAAACTGCACAGAGAACATAAGATACACAAGCTCATACCCCATCACTCCTTGGTTGCTTCCTTGTGCCTCTCTCCTATCTCAAAGCTGCTACCCCCAAACCCTTCCTCCGCATCCAGGACACCTCACACTGCAGTTCCTCCCATGGCTGCTGTGTGTACTTTAACCCCCTTGGGTTCCTTTGCTTGATGTTGGTGTTTCTCAGTGAGAATGTGGGTTGGCTGAAAAAAGCACATCCAAGGAGCTAGGAAGGTTTTCAGTGGAGGGGGGGGGGTCTGCACAGAGAAGTTCCTACCAGTCCTGCTGGAAATGTGTCTAAATCCCTTGGCACTGTTCTTTATACCCTTGTATTATATTTCCTGAGATACCAGTATAACACCAAAACCAAATGGGAATTACCTCTTTTATCACTGCTTGTCATCTTGCTGTGCTACATGGCAGGTCCAGAATGGGCTGGCGCTATATGCAACGTGGACCACCATTGCTACTCTGCTGAACTTTGCCATTGTGTTGATCTACAAATGGAATGTGTCCAATGGGACAGCAACAACTGCTTCTCTAAGCATCCTTACTCTCCACCTAGTAATATGGTAAGCAACCTCATGGGTTCCCTTCAAGTCTGAAAGACCCCTTCCACCTCTCAGAAACAGGTTGGACCATCTGTCCCTATACCAACACAGAGTACAAAGGTCTCTGTTATAACTCATGGCAGATGAACAGAGAGCCTGGGCAGAATTTTTCTGGCCCTCAGCAATACCAATAAGCACATGCTGTGGGCCAGGAACAGGTTGCTGTAACTTGCATAAGCCCAAACTGCCCTAGATTTGCAGGTGAGGGTTTGATATGGAAAACATATAAAACATGGCTTTTATTTTCTCCCTAAACTTACCTTAGATAACTGATAATTTCTATTAGTATTCTGAGTTTTAGTAAACGAACAACTTTAGACTATAGTCCAAACTGCCCTGAAAAAATAATTCTTTGTATAATTCCTTTTCTAAACTTTCTATGAGAAATAAATGTTCAGAGAAAATGCTTGCTTCATCACCCTTCTTCTTCACAGGTTTTATCTAGAAAACTTCTTTCTTGACAAATATGTCCGGTATACCCTTACAATCTACCCAGTGGTCATAATAGCTTTGACTGGCAGCGCATGTAAGAACTTCTCATTTTCATCCCCAAGGACGAATGGCATTTTTATAGGTGAATCTTTTGGACTGTTTCTCACTCTTGTAGAAGGCCAGTAAACACTTGCACATTTTTCCTGTGTGTTAGGGGCAGAAAGACTTGTCTCTTGAAAATTATTATTTGTAAGAAGTAGAACTAGGGATTTATTAGAAGGTATTAACTTTGCAAAGTAAAAAGAGCAGAAATCATTGCCTGTGAGCCTTGGGGCTGGATTTAAACCTTGTGTTGCTTAAACTTCACTTCCTGGTGCGATATTTGCCACACAATCCTCCATCATCCACTTGGGTCCTCTGCTGGTAGCTCAGTCTGACACAGGGCAGGGCTGGGATGAAGGCTGTGGACTTGTTTGCCCTATATCATTTGGGATATAGAGGCAGTGCATAAGTCTTTCTGACCCAAGGATGGGTTGTATCTATATTTCACAATGCAAAACCCTGGGCATGCTCTTCTCCTAAGCAGAGCTCAGGCTAGCCTTAACAAGTTTTCCTGGGATTATTTGGTTGCTGTAGGCCACTGTAGCTGAGTTGAGTATAGTCATCCATTGTAAAAGGGCTTAAGATGTCTAAATACTGTACAATCATAGCCTGGCAAAAGCTATGCCATTATCAGTAGTTTTATGCTGGCATGAAAGGGACTGAGCTATGTGAACTCTGAATCCTGCTGTTGCAGTTTGAGATGCCTACTCCCACTGTAGGGTCAGCAGAAGGGAGTATGTTCCCACCATTCAGCCTTCCCACTGCCACATACTGGTGGCTAAAGCTAATTTCTGGACTGGCACCACCATCACAGCCACTCCAGGGCTGTAAGGGCAGCTGGATTCTGGTAATGCCTGAAAGCACCCAGCAAGATTCAGCAGAGCTTGTCTGCCAAAGGCATGGGGGCACTGCAGACTCATCTCCTGGTGGCTATGGCCACCAGGAATGTGAAGGTATGTGTGATCTCTGGCAGACAGCTGTGTTCCTGCAGTGCATTTCTATCAGCAAAATTTCATTCTTAGCAGTTCAGCTTGTTTTGGCTGGTAGAGAGAGAATATGCTTTTCCCAAATTAGTGCATGTTTCTTTGTATAGTTCAACCATTCTTGAGTGTTTTGTTAATGTTTTTTATTCCCATGTCCATAAAGCCTCCCCCTTCTAGACATGCCTTGACCTGGAAGTGTTAGATGAGTTTGGATAGCAGTGAAACTCTGAAACACAACTCTGGGTGTAATGGCTCCTGCACAGGGGGTTTCTTTTTAACTCTCTCCCTGAATGCCCCCTGGGCAGCTGGGGTACTGGGAGCTGGGGTATGACAAGAGACACTAACTTTCATGTGCTAACATGCTTCTGTGTTTCTGTTGTAGTTGTGCTGCTGGCAATTACTTGTTTGATCTTTGCTGTTCGACTGGGACTAGTCACGTGGAGACACTGTAAGAGAGCACTGGAAGCAGCAGAAACTCTGGATCCATCAGGCACAGTGGCCTGAGACCTCTGGCATGTTGCAGCAGATACTTTAAAGGGGTGTGGGGGGAGGGGAATTGGGCATCCTGGTCCTTACTTCCAGTATCAATGGCCTTGTGTTCTTCTCTAGTTATTTCTCTTCCTCTCTTTCCACTCCAAATGAGGGTGGCTTGTGTATGCAAACCTGTCCTGCTCCTGTGTTCCCTCACATTGGCTAGTCACACACCCACCTTTAGTCTGCACCCTCCTTCACTTGTTTTGACTCTGGATCAGTGCAGGAGAAAGTCTTTCAGCTGAACAGCCCTGTGTACCTTTTTTTGCACAGACACTTGTTCATATTCTTTCCTTGAGAATTCATTTTTCTTGAAGTGCAGCTCTAAGTGAACTGTCCCTGGGAGTTAAAGGTGAGCAGTGTGAGGTCTGTCATGCCTTTGGCCATTCAGTGCTGGGTATCTGCAAGCCACTGTGGTGTGAGCAGATCTGTAGGCAGCAAGCTCTCCCTTTCCTGCTTTTCTTGATCGTGATGAGAACAGATGCTGCAACTGTAGAGATCTACCTTGGCAGCATCAGCTCTGTTTGAAATCCAAGGGCAGAAAAGTGCCTGAATACTTCTGACACAATTGCAAGTCTTCAACCTATTTCAGCTTGTAGCTCTAGAAATGGAAGATATGTTCATGTTTCAGCATACAGTAAGATATCTGGGTCTCTGCCCTGGTTTTTCCTGACTTTCTCAGTCACTGTGTCAGTGCCTCTGTGGACCTGCAATAACAGCAGATCTGTGCTGTTGCTGCTCTGCCTGTAAGATGGATGAGATCTGGGTCAGGTGGGAGGTTGGGTTGCCTTTCCCTGAGCTGTGCGGAGCAAGCAGTGCACAGTTTGTGCTGGCTGGATGCCTCCTGCTGGGGGATGGTTTGTAGCTGCTCTGGCAGGAGGTTAGATGTACAGACAGGATATGTGATCTGGGGTAAAGCCTACTGTTTGGATTTGGGGTCCAGGCAGGGTGAACAGTTGGTGTGAAGCTGTGTACCAGTTAATGCACGGGGAGCCCTGGAAGGTTTTGCACCCTCCTAAGCAAAACCTTCATACACAGCTCCTGGGCCAGAGCAGCTGCACTGCCTTTCCACAGGACATTAAAGAAAGACACCAAGAAAAGCCCCTGAGGACTTTACCTGATGCCTGTATTGGCCAAATGACTAGAAACTATACCACAGGATACAATTAAAGCATTAATTAGCTGGCAAGAGTTGACAGGGCTTCTGTAGAGGGGAGTTATGTCTCAAACCTCTGAGGTCTCTGAAGGACTCAAAGGACATAGATAGGATGAACTGTTTTATATTGCTCCTGGCCTCTAAAAACTTAACAGCTATGGCATAAGAAGGCAATGTCCTCCTATAAGTGGGTAGGTAATTAAAGCTGAGGAAGAGGATGTCTCTCTAGGAAGACAGGTTGCTGGTGGTATGTTGTGAGACCTGGGCTGCATACCATAGTCATTAACTGCCTGCCATCAAACTATACCTTGGGATTTATTTAGGATGCTAAAGGAAAAGGTTGACTGGGGAATAGCATAAAAGCTCTTATAAAACAAAGTGCACAGTGCAAATGATGGATGAAATTCAGTGCAGGTATGTACTAAAGGATACATAAGGGGAAAGAGACTGAACTTTGCATTTCAAATGACATGCTGTGAGCTGACCTCTGCCACTTGGGTGGAACAAGAGTATTAAGGGCTTGGGAAAGGTTTGGAGAAGAGCAATGGCATCAGGGAGCAAGATGTTTCTGTGCCCATCCATGTACCTGAGAGCCAAGGAGCAGCTCAGGTGAGGAGGAGTGTGAGACCCTCTCCTGTGGCTGCTTTGCCATGTGCAGCATGGGGCCAGGTGCTGTTCTTCACCCTGCTCTTGCCATGCCTGAATGACCTGCAAGGAGACCTTCAAAGGCCTTTTCTTGAGTGATGAGGTGCTGCAGCAGCACCCTGTTAGTCTTTTGCAGACCTCCTGTGAGAAAGCCCCTGACAACTGCCCCAAAATGATTAGGCTGAGCTAGCCCCAACCCTGGCCACCCACAAATAAGATCCTGGCCTCAAACCCCCTCCAAGTACTGTTTCCACAGAGCTGGAGCAGGCGTAGCATATGCAGCAGGAACAGGAGCCTAAAAATATCCTGCCCCTTTTTCTTTTAGCTGGAGGATGGGAGAGAGGCATGAAAAGTAAGAGTGAACCTTCCCCTTCCACCCTTGGACCTAAAGATAGCCCCAAGGCTATTTTTAAAGGCCTTTTTCAGTTTTTTGTTTTCCTGAAATACATTATTTTCATTTGTTTTCAAAACCCACTGATACATGGTTTTGCCCACAAGAGATTTTCTTTTGGCAAAGCTGCATTTCATGAAGCTGGAAGCCTGCCACCTTTTTAGCAAAAATAATTGGTACAGCCTTTGTTTCCATGAGAGATTATAGGATTTGGGTGTTACTGGATTTAAAATTTCTTGGAAAGCTTGGGGGCCTTAAGAATCCAAAGCCTGAAAAATTAGTTTTGTTTCTGAAAAGGCAATTTGGAGCCTTGGCAAATGTTAATGATGTCTCATAGTCTAGCCCTCCCTGTGGGGCTGGCAAAGGTAGGCATGATGTAGTTCCTGGGTCACAGAGGCATACCTTGTTTCTTTCTGATGCCAAAAGCTGGGTTTACACTTCTTGTCCTCTGAAGGGATTCAGGCTGTGGCTAAAAGAGAGGAGGGGGAGGAAACAGGGAAAAGCAGGATGATCTGTAAACCACCATTGGCTAGAGAACCCCAGTGTTCAGTTTGGGGATGCCCTCTTTCCCCAGCTGGGGCCAGCTCCTGCCCAGGCTCCCTTGTGCTCTGTGCCTGGCAGCCTCCACCCAAGGATGACCCATCAGTTTAGTGATGTTTTCTCCAGAGGGCTGTATCAGCTGGGTTTGATGTAGCTCAAGCTGACATACAGTTGTTTTCAGTAAAAGATCCTGGGGAAAATCTGATTTAGAAGAATGCTGAATGGAAGAAGTTGTGGGTCAGGGAAAATATGTATTTGAACTGAGAAAGCTAATGTCTTAATTCTAAAGGAATTTTAAAAAAGGGGTTATAAGACTCTGGATCAGGCTTTAATGGCCCATGTGGCTTCCAAAGAAAAACATGCCTTGCTTCTCATTAGGGCTCAGCTTGCTCCTCCTCAGCCACCATGAGAGTGGAGGAGAAGCTGGGATTGGGTCAGGCTTCTCTTCAGTACCTTCCACCAGCAGCAACACACTCTGGGTGGTGCACCCCAGAGCCTGTCCTGCCTAAAGCCCTGGGGCACCATGATGCTCTTGGCTATGGAGCTCAGGCACAGCGCAGGCAGAAGGCTCTCCTGCCGGGCTCTCAAAAAAAACCAGAGCACCCAAGCAGAGGAGATGTTGTGTTATGACCTAATTTGTTCTTGTCTTGATGCTACTCTCAGTACTAATTACATTATATTAAAGAATGGATAAATTGAGCCTGCTGGAGAGATGTTACATCATGATGCAAAGTGGAAAGCAGGATTGCCTTTCATCTGTAATTTGGAGCAATTTTGCAAACCTATTGCCTAGCCACAGCCTGGGGTGGTGATGCTGAGGTATGGGTGCAAGTCCACGTGGACAAGACCCTTGCTGGTGCCTTGTCACTTCTCAAGGTATCTCATGAGAGGAGTGTTGGTCTTGGAGAGGGAACACAAGCTAGGCTAGCTCAAAATGTCCTCTTATCCAGCCCTCACTGGCTGCACCTCCATTTCCTTATCTGTAAAACAGAGATGAACAGGACAAGCCTCTCTGCAGAGGACTGTGAAGATATCCAGATAAAAGTGCTGAATACATAAGATTAAAGGCGTTGGCACCCTTTACTGTGCACACAGACTAAACATGCTCAGGCCATCCCAGGATCTTTGAAAACTGTTAGATGTTTTCAAGTTAAATATTTATTTTATCTGTGTAGAGCTGGGACGGCCCCATGTCAGGAGATTAGCTCAGTTCCATCTGTCAAAGGCATCTCAGCAAAGAGTTAGGGGCTCGGGCAGGACTCATGCATGGGTTGGACATGTGGGAAAAAAATGCTGGAGCAGCCCAAGAGCCTGACCCTGCTCCCAGCAGAGCCATGGCACCAGCCAGCACACATCAGCTGAGTGCTAGTGCGATGGGCATTCACCCGCTAGAAACTTTAACTCAAAACCCTTGAATAGCCACATGAGGATGCTGTATTTTGTTTCTCCTCTTTGGGAAGAAAGGGTCTTGAAGACCTTTGCCCAGGCAGCTGGTAAAATGTGATGCTTCACTAACTGAGAAGGGATGTTGGCTGCTCAGCATGGGACAGATTTGGGTTAGGGACCGCTGGAAGTGACAGTGAGATTAACTGGTAACTTGGTTTGTCTCAATGTTGCTCTAATAAAAACTTGACCTTAAAAAAAAAAAAAATTACTGGAAAATATTTAGCTTAAGTGACCCATGACATGAATTATTTTCATCCAAGAGAGAAAGAAAAACTTTGTGTCTGTGGTTGCTATTGCTTTCCTTGGTGACAACACATCTTTTGCCATGTATTTTGTGGGGCTGAGAGAGGAGCAGAGGGATTGAGCAGAGATGTTCAAGAGCTGTGCCAGACTGGCATAGCAACCAGAACATGGGCTTCCTTGCCCCAATGCTTTACCTTAATTGCATTAGAAATAGCATGGAGAAAAGGTTTGCATGCTGTCATTGCTTTGGCCTGTGGTCCCTGTGAAAAAATGCGGCCTCCTGGGACGCCCACTGCCTGTCCCTTCATTCAGGGGGCACCTTGGCCCCTGCAAATGTGTTTTTACCATTGGCATGTGAAAGTTCCCACCAGGCACAGCAATGGACTTGGTATGAAAAGTCCCATCAGACAAAAGCTCATCCCAGATGCCTTTAAAGAAGACTAGAAATCCTAAGGAGACACCCACTGCATGCCTGACAACAACAGCAGGGGTAAAGTCGTGGTCCATTTACAGCATGCCCTTACAGTTTTTGTCCTTGTGAACTCGGAGTGC